ACCCACTCCTATGCAAAATGACTGTAGGGCCCATGAAATAAATTGTAAAAAGGTCCCTGATGAATTAGAAAAGGTGAATGTGGCAGTGATGTGCTGTTAATGAAGTGTTTCTATCTGTGTGTGATAATGGTGACCAAAAGTGATGTTTTTGTAGGTACTCCAAAAGAAATACAGATCCCTGCTGGCAGAAATAGAGAATTTGAGTAAAAAATTATAATGATCTGTATTATATATTTTGCCCATGACAAAGCCATCAAAATAATATAATAAGATCTTAGATTTGATGTGCCAGGCTGCAAAACTTCTAGGAAATACAGATTTATAAAAAGTGCTGAGAGAAACTCTTTGAGCTGTATTAGTTGTGCTCGACACTAGTCTGTATGGGGAAAGGAAAAATGAAAATACTGGCTTGTCTCTGCTGAGTTCCAACACAAAGACATATTTCCCACTGGGTTTATGGTTGGATCCTCTCAGGCTGTTTGTTTTAATGTTATTCTGAGAATTTTGCACTGATAGTTGCTGGGTCCTGTTTGTCTCAATGAAAGCCTGTGCAACAAAAATTGCTGTTTTGGAACAAAAGGTGATAGTTGAGAATAAAAAGATTGGAGCTGGAAATTGTAGTTTGATTAGGGATCTTCTTTACTGCTTATACTTGAAGATAGTTATTTTCTGGTTATTTAAGGTATTTCATATCCTCCTAACATTTGAAGTAAACAAGCGACTGAGAAAATTAAAAATTTATTTGACTACTCCTTTATTTACTGGCTGCTAAGAGGGGAGAGAAATGTTGAAGTAGTCCTGTTCTTTTGTGCTGTCTCACAGCATCTCCTAAATAAGGTCTGTTTTAAATCAGAATTATCATCTAAATAATATCATTAATTCAGCATAAATTAAAAAGTAATGTTTTTTTCTTTATGATCTCCTTTTAAATGGATATTAATTTGCTTCAATGAATGAAGATAATAAGGTTAATAGTTTAATGTTCCTCAGTTGATATCTGCTGCTTTTTCTATTACCTTTTTTTTTTCCTTTTTGATTATAAATTGGCTAACCCCTGGTGTATAATACCAGAAATCATCCCTTCAGTGTATCCAAAGCTATTTACTTAGACTCATCTTTTATTATTCCCACTGCCACAGTCTAATTATTGTAGTGAAAGATTGAACACAGAATAGTTTGGGGCTTTGATCAGTCTTCATATAAATTTCAATAATGAGAGTAAAAGGTTTGTGGTTTTCTGAGATAATTTGATCCCTCCAGACACACTCAGCTTTTACCAAAGGCAGTGAATGCCATATGAGACCTCTGACAGCATTTGTGTCTGGTCTGTGACATCTCTGCAAGCAAAATTCTTTTCTCATACCAATAAAGAGTAATTTAATATTTTTAAATGTGGCAGAGAAACTATAGACTTCTGCACGATTTTTTTTCCTTAAGTTTTCACTTCATTGTCCCCTATCAGTTTAATTGTCTAGATTACAATTTCCTACATCAGAATCCTCTAAGAATACATAATAGGTTTGCTTGCATCTCTCTTTGAAAAAGTATACCAACTGTCATTCAGATAAATAAAACAAACCATAATCCTTGTTATTCTATTACTATCAGAGCTGGCTCCCTTTGGAGATAAATAGAAAAGCAGCTGGAGACTGAGGATATTTCGTAATCTTATAAATTGAAATTTAAATGCCTCAAGGAGGAAATTTCCAAAATAATTGTGACAGAAGATAAGTCCCGGCTTTTGGCAAAATTTTATTAGAATTACTTGTTCCAGATCGTTGTCTGATGCCTGCATGAATTAGGAAAATGGCAGCACTGCCATGTAGAGGAGTTGCTGGGCTTTTTTTCATCTTGATACATTTTTCTGAAAGTGCTCTGTCATCGGCGTTATCAGGTGTGACACACTCAGGGACACGATCAAATTCAAAATCATGAGCCTTTAGCTGATGCCAGTTGATTTTAAATCACATGGGTTTGATCTTTCTGACTAATAACATCTCAGTTCATGCAACTAAATATTTACAATTTTTAGCTGAACGTGAGGGTTAGTAAGTCACATTGTTAATTTTGCTTGAGGTATGGGATTTGTTTTTTCTCACTGGGATAGGCAGTTTAAAAAGAGTTGGTGACTTTCTGGTGTCCTCTATTGTCAGCTGGTTCAAAACTTCTGTATTTTGATAAGGAACCCTGAAGAGAAATATTCCTTTGTTTGCACTTAGTGAATCCCAGATGCACAAAGTAGTAACCAGTTGTACATTGTAATAACCACTGTGTTCCCAGCCATTTTCAAAAGCTGGTTTTGTTGTCTAATTCCTAAGCTTGGGCTAAAAATGTTTAAAGAATACTTAAAATTCACTGGAAGCTTGGAGAGGATATAACACAACACAAAGGCAGTGCAAACCTCACAAAACACAGCTTTTGCAAGCAGCTCATGCAATGGAGGTGGATATTTTTTTCATACTGTGAATACCAAACTCATTTCAGATGAAAGAAATATCACATTTCCTTTCCCATGTCGTAGCTGTACATCTGTGCAAGGTGGGTGCAGTTTTGAATGCAGGCAGTAAATGGGAAACATTGCAGGAATGTTTTCCCTGGATCAACCAGACAAAACTTCAGTTCTTTGGGCTTTGAGGGAAGAATTGATTGGCGCTGCTGGTGTGGATAGGGCTCTGAGACAGCGGAACAGGATAAATCAGATCAGTAATTTCTCTGGATCCGTCTGGGTTTTGGGCTGTGCAGAGGCACTGTGTGCATTTTCACCTAGCTGTGGTGGGAAAAGGCAGCAGGAGGAGCAGGACCACTGTCCCAGCCAGGCTTGCAGAGAGCCCTGGAGCATCTGCGGGCAGCCAGCTGTGGAGTTCAGTGGGAGATTCTTCTGGTGACCCCAAAAGTGCAGTGGGGGCATTTGGGGCTGTTAGCTGTGAGCCTTTCACCACCTGAACCTGTTCCCAGTGGGCTGGCAGGCCATCCTAGCAGTCACAGAGGGGTTGTCTTCTCCCATTTCCATCCCTTGGAATGGGAAACTATTCTGTGTTCAGCTCTCCAGAGCTCAACTGCGATGTCTTGGCTTGATCTGTTCCAATATTTCTCAAAGATCTGCCGAGTGAGGGAGGGTCTAAAATCTGCAACTCTGATAAACAGGAAAGCAAGACTGGGAGGCAAAGTGTACTTGAAAATGGATGAAATCATCTGGAAAAAAGAGAATGGCAGGAACAATAAATGCAAAGTGCCACTCTTAGGCTGCAGCAATCGATGGCAATAACCAAAAAGGGAACAACGAGGAAAAGATCAATAAAAAGGACCTGGGCATTACGGTGGTTGGCAAGGACACAAATGTGTTGTGCTGCCATGGCAAAGGAGCCTGCAGGAGCTGTGAAATGATCCTGCTCAGTGCTGTCAGGACCTTGGCTGGAGCTGGGTGCAGGGTTTTGGGCTGAGCACGGAGCCCTGAGCGAGCCCCGGCACGGGGGAGCAGCCAGAGAGAGCGGGAGCACCCGACAGATTGAAATAATAAGGTCTGTTTATTCTGGGGCAGAATAAAGTGCCAAATGCCAGAAAGATGGGTGGGAATAAGCAGACTGTGATGGATGGGACTGAAGAAGTGATTTATTTTGTAACAAGAAAAGAGGCAGGTCCAACACTGGAAGAGAAGCTCTCCATTAGCAGCAGTGAGGCACTAACCCAGGTTTTCTGGGAAAGCCCTGAGTGCCTTACTGGCTGTGTCTCACATCTGTCAGGAATTGCACAGGTGAGGTTGGTGCTGCCGTGTTCTTGGCTGCTCACACTGCACAGCAGCTGTCCGTGGGCATCTGTAATAATGTCACTGTGACAAAAAGAGACTTGTAAAAGTGGAGGAGCTGAACTTAGCAAAAAGTCAGTATAATTGAATGTTTTCAACACCGCCACCCTATGGGAACCAAATATCTAGGGACCCCTGACAACATCTGCTCTGTTATAAACACTATATATTTTTTGCATAATTGCATCAAAAGCCTGGTCTTCAGGTTTGCTGATCCCAGCAGTTCTGCATCCAGAGTTTTGTATTGGCTTTTTAATGGAATTTTGACTAACAACAACCTAAAAATATTTTAAACTGTTTGTTTTTCACATTTTTTTGAATCTTGTTTCAAGTTTCCAAAACTTGGGTACCAGACACATCAAAATGAGCAGGAGAGCTGCTTATTTTTTGTTCATATTTTCTTTTAATGCTGGGAGAGATTTACATTTCATTTATTCCATTCCTAAATCATGCAGAGTCACTTAGGTAAGGAAAACTCTGTCCTGTGCCTGCTGCATCGGGTTCTTTGTTTCATCTGGCCCTTTCTTCCATGTCTGGGCTGAGATGCTTTCAATCCCCAGCTCCCTGGATCCCAGCTTCCAGCCCTTTACAGTTAAGTTACAGGTCTGTGGTATAAGGAAAATCAAAGGAGTTGTAATGAAATGTCTGAAGGAGAGCAGGGGAATCTACTTTTCATTCATTAACTTAACGCCTGTGCAAAATCTATTAAAATTGTTTTTTATACATAAGACTTGTTGTTGTTTGTTGTTCCTCTGCCTTAGAAGAATCCAACAGCATTAGAGATGTGTCACGTTTTTTGGTCCAAAAGTGTGGAACAGCTTTTAATGGGAAAGAGAATGTTTTTTGAAAACTAGAAAACTCAGCAGTGAAATAAATTGAGCCTCTAAAAGTGATTGAAATCTCCAAGTCAATATACAAAAGGTATCCGAAAACTTGTGAAGTCTGACAGAATCTCTTTAGTTTGAGCTGTCTTTCATTTTGCATCGGGGCTTACATTTTTTTACAAACAGCAGCAAGCAGTGCTGTCAGGTGCAGCGGGTTTGAAAGCAGCTCAGGAACGCCTGAAATCCTGCACAACTCCGGGTAACGCGTCCCCAGCAGAAAACCGAAATAATAATAATACATTTCCTAAATTGGCTGCGTCGAGCAATTACCCATACCGTGGTGGAAACCGTGTCCTTCTGTTCCTTCCCTGTAGCCCCAGCGCCGTGTCACCTTCCACCTGCCAGATGGCTCCCAGGAAAGCTGCAGTGACAGCGGGCTCGGAGACCACGAGCCCACGAGCGGGGCCAGCGCGTCCCACCCGCTGCCCCTGGGCTTCCCCCAGGACGAGTTCTACGAGCAGGCGTCCCCCAACAGCCGCACGGAGGGAGACGGCAACTCCGACCCCGAGTCCAGTAAGTGCAGAGCTCTGCTCACCCCGCTCCTTCAGCCTTTGCAATCACTCTGTCACTGGGCTGTTTCTGTTCCTCCAGGTGCTTATTGGGAGTGAGCGTTGGTTTTGGCGCGGCTGAGGAAGCGCTCTGATTCTAAACGTGGGAGGTCTGGCCGATGGAAATTAAACACTTGGAGCTGTTAAGGGGTTATGGATGAGCTGGTGTTTTTATGGACCTGGTGTGCTAAGCACAGAGGAGCTTTCTGAGGAGGTTAAAGCTGTTGCCCTAATGGTCATAAATACTGTGCTGAGGGAATTCACATTTCTTAACGTTTCCCTCTCCAGCACTACCGTGTGCTGTAGTTTAACAGGGAACTCGTGGGTGATGAGCAGCTCTGTGAAAAGGCTGCAGTCTCCAGAAATAAGGGTTTCTTGATTTGTCCTTTGAAAGCAGTGATGGGGTTGTAGTAATAATCTCAGAAGAGTTTGTCATCTTCTGCCATTGCCGCTGCCTTCTTGTGATGTCAAAATCAGGGAGGCAGAATCAACAGGAGCGGGAGCTGTGGGTACTGGCTCTGCTCTCTGTGCTGTGATAGCCAGTTGGAGAGTCCACTGAACTTTAGTCAACTGTTAATTGTCCAGAGGCTCCTTTTCTGGATTAAATTGAACTGTGCCATTGATAAAGAGACACCTGAATGTCTCTAAGCCTCTAAGGCCTTGTTAGCGGCTTAATAAGTGATTTGAAAATACATCTGTTCTGGGCAAAACTTGGCCCAAAAGGTGGATTTCAGCTGCTTTAGAGTATTAGGAGGAATGAATTAGTGAGTGCTGTGCACTTGAACTAGCTGTGGAAGGTACCTGCTACACTCTGCAGTGGCAAATCCAGCAAAGAGCATTCCCTCCCACTCTGAGCTGGCTCTGCCACATTCAGCCTGGTTCTTGGAAATCACACCTCTGCCCAGGCCTGGAGCCTCAGGGCTTTCTGAACATGTGGATTGTGTCCTCTTTTTCTTTAATTTGTAAACTATTACCTAAGTTTAAATTTAAAGTTTGTAAGGTGATATGTTTCCTGAAGTAATGCCGGAATATTATGTTTCCCAAGTTGATAGAGAGCTGACAAGAACCATCAGAGGTTTTTGATCTTGTGCTGGAAAAAATCATAATTTGCTTTTGTGTTTATGTATTTGAGGCCATAAGATACCCTTAATAATATTCTAGGCAGTCAAACTGGGTTCTTCACAGAGTTAATCTCTAGAGGGCTACAGATATACCACCAAAAGAAAGAAAATACCAAGTTAGATATTACTTGCTGCTTTTGCTTTGCATACTCATAGTCTGCACTTGCTTTCCAGCTCTTTCTTGTTGCTTGTAAGTGACATTTATACTTTACTGAAGTGAGAATGATGTACATGAAATCAGTACCCAGGGCCTTTCCTGCAGGGACAGGACCTGGTGTAGAGGAGTTCTCAGAACAGACACATTCATCCTGTCTTGCCATTTACAAAGAAGCTCAGGTTTGGGGTTCTCCAATGCTTTTTGTGCCCAGGTGTTTTTTTTAATTTCAGAAGAAATATGCTCCATGATTCTTGTAGAACATGGCTGTAAAAGTAACTGAGCTCTGACATCTGAATGTCATTGACACACATCCCTGTGAGCAGACTAAGCAGGCATCAGATGTCTTTTCTAGTGTGAAGTTGAAGAAAGTTTAATCACCTGTCTAATTACCTGACAGTTCAGTTTTAAACTTGAAGCTGCAGTTTAATTAGAGTTTATTTTATGTGAAGATTTTTCTTCCCTTCCAGCTTGTATCTTATTGGAACAGTTTAATTGATGTGGCACGATGGTTTCAGCAGGGAGAGCTTCTTTTGTGGCCCTTTTTAGTGTTTTATGCTTATATTAATGGCAGCATCTAGTGGCAGGAACAAAAAAGCAGATTTAGATAGATGTTGTGTGCTGTCCTACATCTCAGTGAAGAAGGGGAGGACCCACAGCACGTTTGTGTTCAGTGTGCTGCTGCAAGGTGACTTGGTGCAGATGACAGCAACCCAAAATATCTGATGAGCCTGAGGTTCATGTGGTTCACTTTTGCATGCAGGACACATTTAGCCAACAGTGAAACAATAAAATTAGCTCTGATTTGATGGTTTGCTCTACAGTCTTCTGATGGATTTTTGGCCGGTGTTTTTTCTTTATTTTTCTTAATTTGGAGTGGGTTGATGCACTCAGAGCATTTCTTGTCTTCCTTCATGGACTACAATGTTGTTAATGTGAAAAGAGGCAGGAAAATGCAGTCAGGTAATCTGAGTTCATACAGCAGAATGAGCATGGCCTTCATTCCCTCCCAGCATCTTTAATATCTGATCTCTCCTAACCTGAGACATTGTCTGGAATGTTCAGCCTGATTTGTCACCTGGTGGGGATTTAGTTCAACTTTGCCTGCCAAGGTGAGAGGTTTGGGGTGAAACGATGTCAGAAATGTCCAGAACCAACCAAGTGCCCTCTGAAGGCTGATGGCAGCTGTGACATCATTGATGGCCATGTTCAAAAGGGTTTTCTTCCTCTTGATTTTCCTGACTACAGTCCTTTGGTGTTATTTGTTTCTCTAGTACTGGAAATTGTTGCATTTTTTAAGCTTTGCACTTACTAGCAATAGCTAAGCATTTATTGCAAAACACTGAAAAAGATGAGCATAACAAAATAAAATAAACAACAAAAAAAATCCACCCTAAAAAATATTGGTGAAGCTTTACAAATTCACATCTGATATGGGACTGAAATAAGGAGGGAAAAAAAAAAGAACTGTAAGGTTATAGTAGTTAGAAAACTGTGAGAAATTTATATGTAAACCTTTAAAATTAATAGACTGTGCTAATTAAAATTAGAAATAGGCTATTGAAAATGATTTGTCTTCTCTTACTTTAGTTCCCTGAGAAAAACATAAAGTTCAGTGTGGTAGATGCATCATAAGGACGAGATGCCAATAAACTGTCACACCAAGTAAATAGTAATATAAAAATTCATGTAGGTTTGTAGAGAACCTCATCCTTAAGTAACAGCATTCTTCTACGTGGAACTCAGATATTTTCTCCTTGTGAGTTGCTCAAATAAGGATGCTCCAATAACTCCCTATACTGAGGATTTTAACCAAACCATCTTTTCCCCCTCTGATTAAATACAAAACACACTTCAAGCATAGACAAAGACCAACAAACTCTCTGTGTCTGGACTTCCCTGGCAAATTCTCTCTCAGTGACTGTCAGCAGTGATGTTGATCAAAGGGGTTGAAAGGTACATGTAAAACTCAGTTCTGTTGGGTTGTTTAATACATGTGTAAGATATTAATGACAAATTTTCATGCTTTATCTGTTTTTATAGCCCTATCGAATCTGTTTTCTTTCCTCTAGACAATAAAACTGTTTTACTTTTGTTTGGAGGAAAAAAATGGAGTATGACTAGTTCAGCCAAGAAATTGGGCAGAGCAAGAGGAATGATTGCAGCTTGGGGACAGGGAGTGTGGAGGGGAAGCCAGAAAACCTGAAAGTAATCTGCAATTAAATAATAGCAATCATTTTGTATAAAGAAAATGGAAGTATAAACAAAGCTAGCTGAAAATTAAAGTTAATGAGGCAAATCACACTGAGATTTCAGGGTTTAAAATAGGAGGAAACCGGTGTATTAAGGAGAGGGGGTCTCCATGAAGAATATTTAACATGAATTAGTGACTAATAAGCCAAGAAAGTTGCATTGAAAATCAGCAAGTGTAGAGCTAAAGGCAAACCAGTAGACACCAGGAGTTTGTGGCCATGTCAAGCTGGTGTTGCCAGAGGTGTCTGGCTGCTTATTTTTTCTCCCAGTCACACTTTCACAGGGTTGAAGAGCAGTTTGGACCTGGATTGAGGAATTCCTGTGGGTTCAGCCCCTGGGGAGGAGGAAAGGTAAATTTTAAAGAGGGATTCCCCAGTTCCATTTGTTCCACAAGGCACAATTTTGCACAGCAAAGGAGTAAATGAGTAGCTGGGGCAAAGCTTTGCTGGCTTTAAGTGATCATCAGAGTGCAGAGAATCAGTCTTAGGAAGAATTAAGGCTGCAATCTGTGGTGTTTAACCACAGAAGAGGGAGGTTTGCAGCAAGGAAGACATCTGGTGATGATTAAAGACAACATGTATTCCTTCCTCAAAATTAAAAGAACACTTTCACCTTGACTTAATTTTTGATAGGGATGATGTTGATGAGCACAAAGGCAGGCTGATGGAGAGTGATGATAATGGCACTAAAAGTCAGAGCAGGTTCAGTGCATTCATGGGGAGGAGAGGAGATAATCTTCCTCCCAGGATATCAAAACTGATGGTGTTTGCCTTATTTTTCTGTAATTCTTACACACGAGGTGTCAAGAAAAAATAAAGCTCTGGTCAAGCTCCACCGCTGGAAAGCATTTACAAAGAAGAAACAGAGATATGTATGAATATAATGCAATAAATGGTAGCCTGGGTTTTGCAAGAGTAGGATGAGATTAGATCCATTATCTCACTTCTATGATATGTACTTTTAACATTGGGAAACACATGTACAGTTAATCTATATATATATATTTAAGGACTAATAACTGTTATTATGACATTAGGGTGGAGCATTAGTAATTAAGAATGAAAAGACGTAAAATAATACAAGAATGGAAAAAAATCTCCATAATTATCTTCATTAATGAGTCTGGCATTAAAAAGCAGGAGCATGTCAATGAAATATTCTAGTAGCTCAAAGCCAAGCATCACTGACAATAGAGGAGGAGGTGTGCATGACACGAGAATTGGATTTTGCTAAGGATTTGAAGTAATAGCAGTGGGATGAAATCTAATAGTTGAGAGTCATTCTCATAGGAGCTGCTGCATGTAACTAGTATATAAATCACCAGCTGAAAATGACATAAAGAAAAAAAAACAACTGAGTATTACAAAGATAAACTATAAATCACCAATACCTAATGTGACTGTGAAAAAAATCATGAGTTACTCCTAGCAGAGGGGA